TAAAAAATATATAAAATAAATTAAAAAACATTGAAATTAAAAAAAATGAAAAATATTACATATTTTTTCATTTATAAACTTAATAAAAATTAAATTCTAAATAAATATTGACAAACAATAAAGATGTCATATTCTGGAGCCACAAAATGCTTCCGCATATCATATGGGATTCGTTGGTGCGCTCCATAAACTCGGTTAGTATTGATGACTCACTCAACTCCATCCTGTAAAGAAGACACTCAATTTAGCACAGGTATGCTATTTTTCCCTTGGGCTACTTTGCTGAAAAAACAACCCTAACTTTATCATCAGAGTGCATTTACAAGGACTTCCTCCTCTCTCAAGCCCCCAAAGAGAAGCTTCACAACATCAAAGTAGAGGTCTATCATTCATTCAGAGAACTTGGATTATCTAAATTTAACATTACATGTTTATGATTGTCTAAATTTATCTAAAACTTGGTATGCAAAATCAACATGTTAATATCATATTATTTAATAATTAGATTAATAAAATTTAATATTATAAAGTTATTAAAGAGAGTAACAATAATAAAAGTTACTCTTAAAGGTAATTTGATTGCCACCCAAATATATAAAAATTTAAATAAAAAAAAAACTTTCATTACATTGTATACACTACTTTTATTTAAATATTCGATATACTTTTTCCTTCGTCACTTGTGCAAATATATATCATGTCATACCCATGTTAGATTCCTGTTAGCTTCAAACAAAATATATGGTGAGATAATTAATTTTTAACAATTAAAAATAAAGAAGGCTAAATGAGAACAATTAAAAATTACAACACGTTTTCTAGATACGATAAGATAACTTTTCTTATCCTATCTTATTTTTAGGATTTGTTTAACTAATAAAATAAACTTATCTTATTCATCTTTCTGGTATAAACTTTAGACCATAGGAAGTTTGGATTAGAAATAGAAAAGATAACATGTTATCTAGTTTGTTATCTTAGTGTGCATTAAACATAAGACAAGATATAGGTCTATCCTACTTTTATCATCTTATCTTTGTTTTTATGTAACTATCATAACACACCATTTCCTAGCATATGATGTCCACCAAATAGAATTTAAGGAGAATAAAATTGTACATGGGTTAAAAAGTATAATTAAGCCTAATACATTATAATTCACCAAAGGAATAGTGACTTTCACTTATCTATCAAATAGCTATATAGCGGCAACCAATTTTATTAGAAAACACGATAAATTTACATTATGAATTTCAAGACAAGTTTACCCGTAAATATATAACAAACCAAAAGAGAAGTAAAAAAAGTTAACTAAGTTATGGAATGTATATCCACTGCCCTGAGACTACAAATAGACAGAAAGAAACAAACAAACAAGAGAGAAAAGTACGTAAAATAAAGGGTTAAGCTTAACCATCAAATTTTAGCTTAAGTTCACTCGATATAATAATAAAGATCCAAAGAGAAGCCCAGAAAATCATTTCAGATTTAAATCCCTATTGGGTGTATTTGGCAAACGGCAACAATAAAAAAAAAGTCGTATATGATATATGTAACACAACAACAAAAGAAGGGGGAGGAAGTAGAAGAACACCTTTTGTGGATGTTTTCTTGTAGCAATGGGCAGCATCTACAGCATTTGCAGCATCATATTTGTTATCTAACTGTACTAGATATCATTGCAAAAGGGGGATCATATAAAACCCAACAGCACAAAACTCAGCTTCTAAAGTCAGAAAAATCATAGTCACCCTTGTAATCAACCTTCATATGACATTTAGATGATTTGACGAAGATTCGCCTTGTCCCCTGCACAAAATTGTGATCAAATCATCAAACCCATTAACCTTAATCGTACACACTACAAATTCTCATGATACTTTAAAATATCAAAACGGAGAAAGCTTGAAGCTTTTTGCTCAAGGTTCAAGGAAAAAAAGAAATTAAAAATGCCCAGAACTTCAAATACGGAAACTAATAATTTGGGATTTCATACACACATATTAACTTTACATACTACAAATTCCCTTGATACTTCAAAATAACAAAATCGAGAAAGCTTGAAGCTTTTTGCTCAAGGTTCTCGGTTATAAAGAAATCAAAGTGGCCAAAACTTGAAATATTAAAACAAATAATTTAATATTTGATATTTCAAAATCCCAAAATTTCAAGGTAAACACTCAAACCCACACTACCAATGTAAAACCAAAAAAATAAAAATAAAAATGGAGACTGTCGGTTGTTTCTAAACAAAAAACGAGTGCCAAGAAATTTAATATTCAAAAGCGATAACTTGGGGGTTTTAAAACATCAAAACTCGTGCATTTACAGTAACACCATGATGGTAATGATGCATGCATGAAGGGAAAAGAGCAGAAGAAAGGCATTAGATAAAAGTAAAGTGGAGTTAAAGAGTGTGAATGAGAGAGAAAAGAAAGAAACATGATTTGGCAAGTTTGAAGGAAGCAGCAGATTGTGGAACAACTGAGCAGCATCTTCATAGTTGGAACCGAACAACGCGCAACAACATTCAAGTTTGTTCTCTGCTTTGTAGGCAAGTTGTTGTCCCCTCGCTATGGATCATCCATTGAGGAAACACTGCTTTATCTTCACCTCTTTACCTTTCTTCTTGCGATCAATGGTTCGTATTGTTCATCAACATTGTCATTTCCCATTTGCCAAGTGCCAACGCGAAAGGTGATCAATCAACGATCCATAAAAAGTGGTGCGTAAAAACAACGTTGCTTAATGCATCCTGTTCCTGAGTTAAGAAGCAGTGCTTCCCAAGCCCTGGTTCCTGGAGCAAAACCTTTTGCAACAATTTTCTTGGTCAATTCAACAGCTTTAGTACACAAGCCCTTTTGGCACATCTGAAAAATGATATTATCAAATGTTGAAGATCTAGGATATAAACACTTCTCCAACATTTCCTCCAACAGAAGACATGCTTCACTAGGCTCAGCTTTACCAACCAAACCATCAAGCATGATCCTGTATGTATGCAAGTTGAGCTCAACACCCTTCAACACCATCTCCTTCATTATCCCCCTTGCCTTACCTAAATCCCCTGCTACACACAAGGCAGCCAATAGAGTATTGTAAGTGACCACATTCGCTTTGCATCCTAATTCATCCATAGAAGCAACAATCTGAAGTGCCTCATCTTCATTGTTCTGCTTACACAAACCATTTATATACACATTATAAGTATAAATATCAGGAACCAGTCCAAATACAAGAATTTCATCAAACAGTTCATCTAACTTCATATATTCCGCCTCTGCTACCATCCCACTCAAGACCATAGTATAACAAACAATATCAGGTTTAAGTCCATCTTCTTTCATCCGGTTCAGAATCTCCAAAGCATCCATACCCCTCCCTTCCTTCACCAAGAACTTAATCATATTTGTACTATCCATGACACTAGGACAAAATCCTAGTTTTCTCATATCCCCCCAAATAACCAAAGCCTCAACACTGGTCAAATCCTTTTGTTCACACAATGATGATATTATCTTATCTTCTCATCCAAATTATACCCATCTTCTATCATAAAATTCAGTATCTTAATAGCATAATCCACCCTCTTAATTCTACACAAGGCCTTGATTCCTCAATGCGAATGTTCATATGCTGGCTCTTTAACAAGATCTGGGGCACCATTTTGAGCCATTCTCTCTTCCTACAAAGGAGTGAGAGAACCAAGTTCAATGAACAAACAGTTGGTGTGCACCTCAACCTAGGGATTCTGAAGAACAATTCAACAGCATCTTGGACCATGTTAGCAAGACCATAGAACCTAATAAGGTACACAAAGATGAATTCAGGTGTTTCAAACTTCTCCATGTGTTCAAGGTGGTCAAGAACAGGAGGAATGTCCTGCAATTGGGAGGTGTTGGTTAAGGTTTTGAGGACAAAGTAGTAAGCTTTTGGAGTTGGGTCACAGCTATAACCTTCGAAGGAATCAAGAAGAGTGGAGAGAAGAAAAGGGTAAGGAAGGTTGTGTCTTTGGGGTTGTTGGGAAGAACCCATTTCAATGGTTGCTTGTTTGAGGATTTGCATAGCTTGTTCTTCACCAAAATTGTGGTGCCATGAAGTCTTGTAAGGAGAGTGTGGCCATTTTCTGAATTTTCTGAGGTATTTGTTGGCACTCTTGGATAGAGGGTGTCTCACCATTTGGATATGATGAGGAACAGTGAAACAACATAGAATTAACTGAGTAACCAACGAACAGTTTTTGTACGAGATATTATCAGACCAGATCTTAGCTATTTTATTTTGCTGTGATGGTGATACGGGACCTCTTCTATTCTTTAAAATCTCCATAAACTCGCTCACTTCAAATCATTTTTAAGATGCACGAAGCATATGCACGCGTTTGCATTTAAGTATATTTTGATGTTATTAGTTATAACTTTTAAGTTAAATTTATATTTATAAAATTTTAAGTTAAAAGACATTCTGAATGCACAAATGCAATTTTTTTCTTTTTTCTTTTTTTTTTCCGCCATTTTGATCTATCTTTCCGCAGTGATTATTATGTCGAAAGATAAGTAGATGATTGGTTTCAGTAGCTCTTGCGGTGGTAGCACGTAGAACTTTACTTTTAATATTGTGATGAAGTATTAATAACAGGATTTTATTAATCTCAACTATTCAACTATTAAAACTGAGTTTAGACACTTAAAAATAGTAAATTGTTTATTTTGTTGAACTAAATTACGGTTATTTACTGAACTAAGTATAGTATAATCATTGTTGGTATTTCACCTAATTCTTATTCTATTTTATTACTTTCGTTTGCTTTGTTATGGAAGCAAATATTGAATGTTGATTATGAATATACCAATATAATTAAGCGTAATGCATTATAATTCAGCAAAGGAATAATGACTTTCATTTATATATCAAATGGCTTTATAGCGGCACCCAATTTTCTTAGAAAACACTTGATAAATTCACATTATGAATTTCAAGACAAGTTTAACCATAAATATATAACGAACCAAAAATTCATACTACTATGACCACGGTCTCATATATGGTGCCTTCAACAACATGGATTCGATCTTATCCCCTCTACAGCTCAGGAATAACGTTTTCTGGAGAAGACATTTTGTCAATTTTTGTGCACATATGATGAACTTCTGCTTCACGTAACAAAAACAATAGTAAGAAAAAACATCAAGCCATGGGAAAAATAATATCCTTTACCGCTGGCAGAAAATTCAGTTGTGATTGATTCATGTCAAATCATCCTCTTCCATCTCTTTTGCTTTTAAAGCATCTTTTACTCTCAACAAAAGGGTTGACTTCCAAGAATCCTGCATTGAAACAGTAAGGTCAATTGCAACTTAAGAAACATATAGTAAGATGTATCCTTATGCTACATGATATTCTCAAATTTCCATAATACCAAGAACATACACAAAAATATAACTATTGTATGCGACAATAGTTCCAAGTAGATATGCAGACAAGAAGATAATGTACACTAAGCTTAATAATAGGGCATGTTGGCTATCATGAAACGCATGAACAAATGCCGAATAGACAAATTTGCTAAAATAAATATTCGGATGCACAAAAAATAAGGGTAAGAAATGAAAATAACATATCTAAGGTAGTGGTGATGGAGCTGCTGGCCCAAATGACCAATTATTAGATCCGATGGAGAGGTCCAAGTCATGGAGGGCGTATGTGAGAAAGAAAAATAGTGAGAGGGTAGAAAAGGAAAGTAGTTAGGAATTAGTTACTGGAAAAAGAGTATATTGTGTAAGGGGGAGTGTTAGTGGGAGATATGCTGAGATTTTGTTTTTAATTAGAAGGAGCAGGATTCTCAATCTTTAGATATGCTGAAATTTTGTTTTTTTTTGTTAGGAGGAGCAGGATTCTCTATCATCATTGAAATCTTGTAGGAGCCGTAAGCTCTAGTGATTGCTGTTGCGTATGTTTTTGGCAACTAAAATCTATAATACACAATCTATTCTTATTGAATTTCTATCAATTGGTCTGACCTACCAGATAAATATCGCCAAAAACTAATTGAAGTGATGCTTTGGAGGCTCAGATGAATCAGAGGCTTAGGGGTCACGTTTGGAGGGTGTTGAGAATTCGTTGAGCAAATTTTGAAATGCTATATTGGAAATGCAGAAGTCACAGTTGGATATGCAACGTTCATTCATGGAGAGATGTCACAAATTTCAAGAAGTGCAATTATTGTTCAAGAAAGAAATGGAGCTATCTGGATACAAGGGAGCAGAGGGAGAATCCTTGGGAAGAAAGATGTCAAGGAAGAGGCGGATGCTGACCCTGCCATTCAGGAAATTATTTCTCACACAACTAATGATGCTAGGAATCACCCAGGTTTTTCTATCCAAAATGAAGTGCTTTTCTTTAAAGGGAGACTAGTTATTTTTGCTTAATTGACTCTCATCCCCACCTTATTACAAGAGTTTCATTCTACAGCTACAAGAGGGCAATGTGGATATCATAGGACTTATTGTCAATTAACAAGTCTTGATTGGATAGGAATGAAGAAAGTTGTCATGGTGTTTGTCAAGTCCTGTGATTTTGTCAAAAGATGAAATATGCAGCAACTTTTCCTACCCCAAAAGCTAGCTTGTAAGGTAAGGATTATTTTAGCCTTTATAAGTTCTTGTTTAACAATATTTATAATAGAAGTAAGACTCCAACACATTCCCTTGCGCTTGCGCTTAAGATTGGAAATCTAGAGCGTAACAATTATAGGACTATTTTTTAAATATAGCACTCGATAAGCCACAGAACCAGGTAGGTAGCATTCCATAGGATTAGGTAAGTTACATTGGAAAATCCACTAAACCAGGTTGATTGCACAAGAAAAATTCATGGGGCCAGCTAGATTTTTTTTTTTTTTTTTTTTTTTGGCAGTCAAGAGTGGCCCAATATCAGATTTGCAATAGGCACTGATACTATAATAAGAAACTTAGACCTAACTCACTCCTAAAGGACTACTGTCCAAGTATTTATAAGGAGTATTATAACTATATTTTTAGACAATGTGAGACATCTTAACACACAATTCTCATGCTCAAGGATGGACATCTAATCCATGAAATTTGCAAAATTAGACATTTATGAGCAGTCCAACATTCAAACTAGATAGATTATAATACCATGTTGAATTTGAGCTTTAAACCTAATTCAACTCTAAAAGTTAACTAGTAAAGTGAAGATTGTTTTAACCTTTATAAGTACTTATTTAACCATATCTATGTGGAACTTCAACAGCAGCCATTATCAATTTTGGACTAGATTTGGGAAGAGATTTCAATGAACTTTATTGTAGGACTCCCACAGTCTAAAGGCTATGAGTATGCACATTTTATACCACTTAAGCATCCTTATTCTCCAAAAAGTTTTGCAAAGGTCTTTGTATAATAATTTGTGAGACTTCATGGTTTTCCCTTATCCACTCTAAGTGATAGGGATCCCATTTTCACGAGTATTTTTTTGGTGGGAATTAATTAAGTTGTAAGGTACCAATGTTATCAATAGCGGATGACGGATTATGATAGAAAGCTAAAAACATGTCATAAAGTTATGGTGGATGCCATGGCAAGTTATGGCAAAAGTACAACAGACATAATAAAATATATAAAAAAATATTACAGGTCATAGGAGATGATTGAGAGGAAAGCTGAAATAAAAAGAAATTATTTGAGAAAAAAAGATGAAAACATAGATGTGGGAGAGGGAAAAATTGAAATAAGGAAAACTAAAATATAGAGGAAGAAAAACTATAAGAGGGAGAGGGAAAAACAAAAAAAAAAGCTACCAAGAAAAATGGAATCGACAAAGATAGAGGTAGCAGTTGTCGAAGATGTAACAGTGGTCGTTGGAGCTGTAGTAGAACTAGTGGCCAAAGACTGATGAACATTGAGGAAGAACAGAGGTTGAATGAGTGAGACTAAGAAAGTGAGGACAAAGAACTCAAGTGAAGAACAAAGATGAAGGCACAAAGCCAAAACATGAAGAGAGAGGAAGAAGAGATGCAATTGCATGATTTAGGGTTTAGGTTAGCAGGTTGTCTCTTTGGATCAGGTTAGGTCAACGGCCTAACCCATTTTAAACTACAAAAACTGCCATGGTTGCTAGGCACGTAACAGCCACTACGGCACCGCCATTGAAAAGCCACCATATTATGCCTTAGTCATGGTAGTTTGGTCCAAAAACACCACCTTTACCCGCCATGGTGCCATAATAACCGTTTTTTGACAACACTACAAGGTACAACTCTTAAGATGAGCACAACATATCATCCCAAATCTGATGGTCAAACGAAGGTATCAACAGCTATTTGAGTCTTACTTGGGTTGCTTTGTTTCGGAATAGCCTAGGACTTGGTCCTAGAGGTTGCCTTGGGCTGAATTGTGGTATAATACCACATTCCATGTCTCTACCGACTCTACTCCTTTTGAGATAGTGTATGGTCACAAACCTCTGACAATGTTAACTAGTAAAGTATTTGGAAGGAGAAACAAAGGTTGAAGGTGTTGCTAGAAAGTGTAAAGACAGAAATGAAGCTCTGAAGCAACTGAAATTTAATCCAACAAAGCATAGGAACAAATGAAAAGATATGCAGATAAACATAGGAAGGATATCTCTTTTGAGTTGGGTGATTGGATGTTCATTAAACTTTGGCTGCATAGACAAACTTCGGTGTCCTCTCGAATCTGTTCAAAATTGTCCCATCTATATTATGGCCTTTTTCAAATTATTGAGAACATTGGGACAGTAGCTTATAAGCTCCAATTACCTCCTATTTCTCAAATACACCCAATATTCCATGTTTCATTGTTAAAAAGAGCCATTGGTCAATATTACGCTGCACCTAATCTGCTGGTAGATATGGAGGTTGAAGATGTTACAAAACTGGATAAAGTTTGGGCTGTGAGGAGCAAGTTAGAGGAAGGTATCTTGTCCAAAGAATATTTGATTTAGTGGAAAGGATTGGCTGCAGAAAATTCCATTTGGGAGGCAGAATTTTTTATGAGAAGCAATTTCCAAATTTTAGCCTTGAGGACAAGACTGCAGTTTGAGCAGCTTGTGATGTCTGTCAGCAAAATAAAACTCAAACCCTATCTCCAGCTGGTCTTTTACAGCCTTTACAAGTTCCAGCACAAGTATGGAGTGACATCTCCATGGATTTTATTATGGGCCTCCCAAAAGTTAGAGGACGGGACACTATTTTTGCGGTTGTTTGATAGATTATACAAATATGCACATTTCTCTACTCTAGCTCATCCATTCATAGCAAAGGATGTAGCACAACTCTTCATTTCAGAAGTAGTTTGGTTGCATGGATTTCCCACATCCATTGTTTCACACAGAAATCAACTTCTTTTAATTCAATTTTGGTCAGAACTTTTTTGACAAGCTGAGACAAAATTGAAGTACAGTTTGGCATATCACCTCTAGACAGATGGTCAGACAAAAGTGGTAAATAGGTGTTTAGAAACCTATCTAAGATGCTTCATAGGATCAAAACCCAGGCAATGGCCTCAATGGTTGAGTTGGGCTGAATTTTGGTATAATAGCAACTATCATTGCTCTACTAAAAGGACCCCTTTAGAGGGTAGAGACCCTCCCATCCTTTTCAAAGGCAATACATATCCTTCTACCATTGATGCAGTTGATCAACTGATTATAGACAAAGACCTTTTGTTGGATGAATTGAAGCACAATTTAACACAGGCTCAACATCAGATGAAGGTACAAGCAGATAAGAAAAGACAAGAGTTGGTTTTCCAGGAGGGAATCGGGTTTATTTAAAAGCCTAACCCTACAAATTGAGGACTTTGGCTCAGAAATGAAATGATAAGCTCAGTCCGCGCCTCCACAGTTTTATGTACCGTATCTGATTGTCCAAGGCATTGGAGAGGTTGCATATAAATTACAGCTTCCAACCAGTTGTAAAATTCTCCCAATTTTTCATATTCATATCAGCAAGCTGAAAAAGTCTGTACCAGCAACACATCAACCTCAACCACTATTAGAGGCACTAACTGAGGATTGGGAATTGCAATCACAACCAGAGGATTAATTAGCTCTTTGCCATAATACTCATGGGGATGTGGGGGCTTTGGTCAAATGGTATAAGTTACCAACCTGTGAAAATTCCAGGGAATCTTTATCTACTATACAGCAACATTTTACAATTTGTTGTTTTGTTTTCCATCTATATCGAACTAGTTCTAACAAAGACGTACAAAGGATCAATTTCAAATCGGGATCCAAATATATGAGTCAAAGAACTTAAGATTCTAAAATAAGCTTCACAGTTAGAAAAAAGGTCATTCTGTGATCTACATATGAAATTATAACGTGTTCAAATCTTTATTTAGGTCAACATACATATATAGGACTAGTGAGATCTTTGTCAAACACAGCAAAATTTTATCTTACCAAACAATGTAAACATTTTATCTTACCTTCTAACAACTAAAACAAAAGAAATTTTATTTTAATAAATTACAACAAACATCAAAAGAATCATATATACATTAGAGATATAGTCATGTGACAATATTTTTCATAATACTTGGGGCTTGGAACACAGAGGTATACCAATGGGGTTATGCTTTCAAACTCCTTGACTATTCGACTAAATTTTTCAACATCTTCCTCATCAATTGAAGAAACCAAATCCTGAAATTTGGTAATAACTTTCAATCAATAAAACTAAACAGTGATCAAGAAAAGAATAAGAGCAAAGTAACAAGCCATAGTAATCATTCTTCTTTCAGGATTTAAGGTAGACATGGTGTTATTCCAAACAAATAAAAATAAAATTGCAGAGCGCCAACACTGCTGGAAAATTTAAGAGAGATTATATTAGAAAGTATGGAAGGGAGTGCAGGGAATTAGGGGAGTCAGTTAATGCTGTTGACAGTTGTTATAACAACAATGATACTTATGATTGAGGGTTAATTGGACAAGCTGCAAGTTACTGTCAGTTAGTCGAGAGAGTTTAGCAAATATAAGATAGTCACTAATTGAGAATTGTACTTTCTATTCTACATCATGTCTTCATCTAAATATGATTCAGTTCCAACAAAATTCCACCACTTACAGACAAAAATTTGTATTCACGGGTTCTGGAGAATGTTGGATCCAAGTCCTACATGATGAAAGGAAAACATGAGAAAAGTATATATGTAAAATATTAGTCCAATATGAAGAAGAAACACTAAAAGGAACCTGATAGCGCTCTAAAGAATTGGTAATTGCAACAAAATCCCCTTGACAAAGCTGGCAAAGGCCAGAATTAAGAAGATGCCCTCTAACTCCATATTTTAACAAGTTATTGTTCAGTGATTGTCGGGCAACATCTTCATAAATCTTAATTGCGTTCTGAAATCTGGTAAATATCAAGTAGATCAATACACTCCAAGTTAATGCTTATAACCCATATCATCCCTAATCAGTTAGTCCAAATGAAGTCTAGATGGTATTTATATTCTAATGCAATTAGTTGATAGCTTCTAACATTTTAAGAATAGAAGCTACATGCAATTCCAAGACATATGTAGGTAAACGGAAGTTAAACAAGGATAATTCCAAGTATCCTATTGAAAAGTTGCATTACAGGGAACAGGAAGAGAAACACTTACTGCTGAAGCTGAGCAGAAAATTGTGCAACTTTTAGTTTGCACTGGATCACAGACGTTGCAGCATCCCCAAGTTCGAAAAGTTCAGCAGCCCTCTCAAAATAAGATTTAGCCTGCTCTATGTCTTGATTGAGCTCATACAACTCACCAATTTCCTAAATCCAAAGAAAAATTTAACTCAACAAATTTCTTTATTTTCAAAGGATTCAATCTCCGTATCAGAATCTCATACAATGAAAGAATTAACAGTCTGTACTAAGAATGGAAGCAGAAAAAACATAATTTAATGTAACAATACATGTATATGAAAAAGTGGTCAAGAGAATCGGTGGAATAGAATAAGAAGGCACAAGCCAACAAACTTGCCTAACTCAGGTGCTTGCACTCCGTGTGTGTGTGTGTGTGTGTGTATGTTTCCATAACAACAAAGAGTACCTTAGAATACTTCGCAGCCATGATGTGTCTACCAATCTCTGTGAAAATGGTTACAGCTTTATTTAAGCAGGAGATAGCTCCTTAAACAAAAGAGAAGTGAAAAAAGTTAGCTAAATTACTGGAATGTATATCCACTGCCCTGAGACTACAAATAGAAAGAAACAAACAAACAAGAGAGAAAAGTACATAGAATAAAGGGTTAAGCTTAACCATCAAATTTTAGCTTAAGTTCACTCGATATAATAATAAAGATCCGAAGAGAAGCCACAAAATAATTTATATTCAGATCCCTATTGGGTGTATTTGGCAAATGGCAACAATAAAAAAAGTCATTTTATAATTATTTGTAACAAAACAAAAAACGAAGGGGGAAGAACTAGAAGAACACCTTTTGTGGATGTTTTCTTGTAGCAATGGGCAGCATCTACATAAGCATTTGCAGCATCATATTTGTTATCTAACTGTATTACATATCATTGCAAAAGGGGTATCATATATAAACCCAACAGCACAAAACTCAGCTTCTAAAGTCTGAAAAATCATAGCGCGCTTGTAGTCAACCTTCATATGACATTTAGATGATTTGACGAAGATTGAGCCCGCCTTGTCCCCTGAATAAAATAGTGATCAAATCATCAAACATGTTAACCTTAATTAGTCGTACACACTACAAATTCCCATGATAACAAAAAGATGAGAGCTTGAAGCTTTTTGCTCAAGGTTCAAGGAAAAAAAGAAATTAAAAATGCCCAGAACTTCAAATACTAAAACCAATAATTTGGGATTTCATACACGCACATTAACCTTACACACTACAAATTCCCATGATACTTCAAAATAACAAAATAGAGAAAGCTTGAAGCTTTTTGCTGAAGGTTCACGGCTTAAAAGATATAGAAGTGCCCAAAACTTCAAATACTTAAATAATTTAATATTTCATATTTCAAAACCCCAAAATTTCAAGGTGAACGCTCAAACCCACACTACCAAAGTAAAACCAAAAAAAATAAAAAATGGAGACTTTCGGTTGTTTCTAAACAAAAAACGAATGCCCAGAAGTTAAATATTCAAAAGCGATAACTTAAGGGTTTTAAAACATCAAAACTCGTCCAGTTACAGAAACACCATGATGGAGATGATGCATTGAGGAAAAAAAATGGCATTAGATAAAAGTAAAGTGGAGTTAAAGAGTGTGAACGAGAGAGAAAAGAAAAAAAAACATGATTTGGCAAGTTTGAAGGAAGTAGCAGATTTGTGGAACAACTGAGCAGCATCTTCATAGTTGGAACCGAACAACGCGCAACAACATTGGAGTTTGTTATCAGCTTTATGGGCAAGTTGTTGTCCCCTCGCAATGTGATCATCCATTGAGGAAACTCTGCTTTAACTTCACCTCTTCACCTTTCTTCCTGCGATCAATGGTTTGTATTGTTCATCAACATTGTCATTTCCCATTTCCCATTTGCCAAGTGCCAACGCAAAAGGTGATCAATCAACAGTGTTGCGTAAAAACGACGTTGCTTCACGCATCTCTTCCTACTGGCTCGTTGATCTCTCTATTCTTTATTATTTCTCACTTTTAAGGAAATTTCTTGTTTTTATTTATCTATCATATTTTTAAAAAAATTAAGATGATTTTAATTTTGTATTAATTAAATTTTAAATTTATGATAAAAAAAATAGTAGAAAAATATGAAAAATTATAATAATTTTAGTAAAAAAATTTATTAACCTTTTTTAACTTCACAATTATGAAACTTTTTTCAATAATTAAAAAAATACCTACGTATTCCGGGGAATAAATGTTTAGTTAGTATAATTACGGAGAATGAAAAATTGGAAACATTGTTATTGTATCATTTTGACAATTTCCTCGTTGATTCTCATTTATTGGTGTTATAACATATCTCTTTTCCTTCCCTTTAATTGGTTGTGAAGTTACCATATATACTTAATCAAAATGAGTGTAGCTAATTACACAAACAAATGAAGGATGAAAACAACATGATGTTGACATCATATTCGATGTATAATGTGATGTATTACCAAAGATTAATCCAAAAGATTCCAAACTTTACTATTCGATGTACCAAACTGTGGAGTTAAGCTAGGAGAAAAAGTAAAAGATTAAAAACAACAGCACATCATTTCAAACACTAACCCACTATTACTGCTATATATAAATCAAACTGTCTAAGAAGCAACAAAGAACAAAATAACTAAAGAAGGTAAATTTAGAGACCCTAATCTGTGAAGTTGCATCATGAAATTTAGATAATACCCATTGATTTAATTTTTGTCAATTATGTTTTGTTTAGTAAACAAAGAAACAAACAGAAACATGTTATATCTCATTTTATAGTCCCCAAATATCCTATTAATCTAGTATAAAAAAATATTAAGTAGTCAAGCCTAAAACTATTTTCACTACTACCCAAAAAAAAAGTTAGCCAAGTAAAGTTGCATTCTTATACTTATACTTGAAATTTGCACCAATAAAAATCACATAATACACATTCAGATTTCATTACCAAGTTTAGCCACTATGGATGTTAGGATCATTGGCTAATGGGATAACTCACCTTTGTTGTCTTCCATTAATTTAAAACTACGGTAGATGTAAAGGTAAAACGAGTGTAAATGTACTTATAATATATATAATTTATAATAATAAATGTCTAATTAATATATTAAATTTATGTTAATATATTAATTTATATTTTTTATTTTTAAATATATTTATTTAAAACACAATTTTTTTTTCTTTCCTAAACCACTATTAAGGGTTTTGAGGCAAAGGGTAGAAGTGTAGAGAAATTAGTTGGACGTAAAAATGGTAAAGTTGACCGTACAATATATGATAGGCATGAGGGTAATGAGTGGATAGAATTACTATTCATGGCAGAACCTGGGATTTGCTAATCAATTTGACTTAATCCAAGTTATTGTTTAGATAATGAGCTGAAAAATATTTTATTATACAGATACAAACAACAACTACAAAGAAGAGTAAAGTCATAATAATAATAATAATAATAATAATAATAATAATAATGGACTATGATGGCTTACTGATGCGCTATTTGATTCTTAACTAGTGTAGTAGTACTTCAAGTTCAAGAATGGGAGGTTGTATTGGCAATTTATGGGCAAGTTTATAAAAACATTACTAAAATAATAATATTTCACAAAAATAAAAAAAAATTGGTTTAAAGAGTAAAACATTAATTTGTCCAAGATATTTTATGTTAAACAAAAATATTTAATTTAGTCCTGTAAGAGGATAGGCTAATAAAGGTAGACAAAACAAATACAAGCGGATAAATTTTTGTATGATGCAATTTTAAAACTAAACTAAAACCCAAAAATGTTTTTAAAAAAATCAAAGGAACAATGGATTAATTTTTTGAAAAATAAAATAATATATATATATATATATATATATATATTTGCTTGTTTATTTTTCGTTTTTTGAGCAATCAATCAAATGAGTGTTTAAATTTATTTTATTTTAAAAATTACTTTAAAGTATGTTAAGAGAGTTTAGATATCATTATGTTCCATAAAAAAATAATCCAAAGGTATAAATTCATAATTCATAATAATCATTTATCAATTATCAAACATAACAATACTGTAAGGAATTTTAAAATGATGGAAAATATAAAAATAGAAAAACTTTTCCATACAATGAAGAATAATTTTTTAAAAAGAGAAAGAAAATTAATAAAAATGATAATCTACATATGTTAATAATAGTATACTCTTTTATTATATAAGGTTTTTCACTTATAATATTCACTTTTATAATAGAGAGAGATATCATGTGAAAATAGGAGAAGAATTTATTGAATTTTCAAATCTTATATGCAAGTAAAAAATTTCTAATATATCCGCCGTGTGTGTGTGAAATTGGCTCTTTATACTATTATTGGGATGAAATTGACTCTTCGATTAAAGAATGGGTTAATGTTAAAAAGAGTTATAAACTACGATTTTTTCATCTATTTCTTGATAAGAATATACATGACTCCATACCAAGTTTTTTACATGTTCAAATTAATGTGGTATAACTTTTTTCTATTTATCCATTGTATTTTATAGATTACATTATTACTTTATGTCAGCATAGATAAATACAATTAATTTTTTTCTTATATAATATCCTATTAAATAAATTAGAGACTAATGTCTAACGCATTAAAGTAAGGGTTTCAATCAATTTTTTTTCATATATATACTTTAATGATGTTGAAATTAAATTTTAAAAAAATAATATTTAAGAGATTTGAATCACTTCCACTCGAACCAACGCATATTGGTATTCAAATTCAATAGTTTAAAAACATTTAAAATGGTGATTTCAAAGAATGCGTTATATATATACAAAACCATCCCTATAAGGTTTCTATAACTTCACCCCAAATAAAATGAAAGGGATTTTTTACATTGTTTGAAACATTTGCAATGATTTTAAACTAAACTATAAGGATTGAATTCAATTTTAAGAAATATTATAAAAAAAATCATTGAGTCATCAATTTAACCAATTTTATTAAAACACCTTTAAGTAACTAATAATGATAATTAATCATATTATTTTTAATAGTTAATTAATTATATTATTAAGTTTTAGTTTTAATTTTTAGATAAATAAATTTTCTTAACAATAATACAAAATCATCATTAATAAAATGATAAAATAACAAAAAAGTGAAAAATACTATATATGTACACATAAAATAAACATGTAAACTAAATTAATTTTTTTCATTTTTTATGTGATTTAATATTTATTACAAACAGAAAAACATATCCAAATATTACAATTATCAAATTTTGAATATAGGTTAACTTTTACACTTCAGAAAATTATAAATATATTTAAACTAATTTATTTTATAATAAAAATAATTATTTAAACTTGTTTGATAATTTTTTATATAAAAATAATAAATATACCAACTATATATGTATGTGACTTCAGTCTTCCAAAAACATATGCATGTGATAGTTATATGTTTAATTAAAAAAAAATATATAACTCTTGCAATAAGATTAGTAACAGCTGGTATTATAAGATACTATTTTTTCATTAATTGTTGTTTGTGTTCATTTTTTTTACTTTATTTAATTTTATAACTCTAAATAATTGTTATATGTGATAAAATAAAGATTTAATTAAGTGTTCGAGTCTTGTAAAAGTTACATAATTTGAACTTAATTTATATATATCTTTTTTAGAATATAGTTATTATATATATTTTTTTGTACTTTCTTTTTAAGTTCCACTTCCTCTAATTGATGTAATCCATTAAAATATTATTAAATGTCAATTTTTCGGTTAAACCATATCAACTAAAAAGATTAAAACAAAATACACAAAAATAAATAGAAATTATATTATAATAAAAAATTAATAAGAAAAATTTAAATTATGCAATTTTTTTATAAAAATCAAATATTTAATTAAGACTAAAATAAATTATAAATATTTATAAATTTATCTTGATATGTTTAATAAGAATTTATTATTTAATTATTCTTTTTATCCTTTTATAAGGAATGGATGATATTTTCCTGAACATGATGCAATTCTTACACTAAAACTTACAACTCCTAACTTTACCACTAAAGCTATAGACTCAATTAATCTGAGGGAAATTTTTTTTTTTTTTTGGAATAGCATTTTTTTTCAAAAAAAAATATAATTCTGGAATACTCTTTTAAAAATTAAAATTTTAAAAGTAATTATATATTTTTGTAAATTTAAATTTAAAAATACATTGGATTCTCTTTTAGAAAGTAAATCGTAAAAATGATTTATAAATAACTTCTTAATTTTAATTTCTATAAAAAAAATCTAGAGGAATGCAAATCTAACAATAAAGGATAAAAAGCATTCCCTTAATCCGATTGGTCTTAGCTATAAGCAAGGATACCCATATCACCCCAATGTCAATTCAGACAGCAATGTTAAATTGGGCCATGAAAATTTACCAAAACACGTTGGGCCATAATAATTGACCAAAATTATTAGTTGGGCCAAGATACAGTAACCATAGAGCTGGACTGGTGCTATCCGCATTTATACCCCAACAACCAATTGACAAAAAGAAAAAAAGATCAGCAGCTCATATATGTATAAAATTTTGATCGAAAATAAGGCGTTAAGTACATATAATTGGATCTTATATAGTAAACCAGTCTTTACTTTCCAAAATAAGATATTTTAATGCATATTTTTATTGTCACTTAAGCTTATTTTCTTTGATTTTGTCATATATGTCTTCTGTGTTTTGGTATGGGTTTTTTTTTAAATAATATTAAAAGAATTCACATTTACAAATACTTGTGCCTGATATATAATGTTTATTTAAAAGCACCTTGTGTAAAACATGTCAGTTTGATATCAAAATCATAATAAAATCATGATTTTGACTTTGAAAACAATATGTTTAGTCTAAGCAGGACCA